CGGCTAAAATTCTTATACGCAGACCAGGCAAATGGGTCTTTAGTTTGCCTGAAATTACGCTTCCAATTATCTCTTGTTGCCATCAAATTGCGAATCTCATCAGTAATGTAGGGATTTGGTCGTCCTCGCATGCGAATTGTTTTCACTGGCGCGTGTTCCTCTAGGATGTTATTAAACATTGAGTTAAAAGCGTTAAAAGATGGATGGATGGATTAGATTGGTCTTGATTGAATGGATGGACGGATGGATGGGTGATTGTATGGTTATATGGTTAGATTGACGTATGGGTGGATGGATGGATGGTTGGATTGATGGGTGGATTGGTGGGTAAATGGGTGAATGGGTGGATTAATGAAAGGATAGGTGGTTGGCTGCATTGGCAGATGAATAGGTGGGTGGGTAGATATTTGGATAGGTGGGTGGAGAGGTGGATTGGTATGTGGATTGGGGGAATGGATGGGTGGGTGGATGGATAGATGTATGGGTTATGGTAGGTGGATAAATTGAGAGACAAATGAAAAATCTACCATTAAGGCCTTCATTCTTGGCTGCATCCTTTATTCTTTCATCTGCCTGGAACTCCCACATAATGCTGTCTATTTCACCTACAGTACCAAATTAATATGTCATATGTTATACTACATCATATACCACACTAATTAACAATCCTGAGGGGGGAGGGGGTATAGCAAATTGCTCTGAACTGTTTATGCATACAAACCTTTATGCAGTTTATATGTTAAAAACCTTTCTCCACCAACAAGAGGCAGGTTTATTATCTCCACATCAACACAGTCATCTTCCTTGGCATTAAACTGGTCTTTAGGTACATAATTGTCAAATTTTTCTTTCTTTACCAAGGGTTTATTTTTTGCACATAGCTCTGTTTTACTACCATTTTCTCTTTTGAACGTCCTTCCTTTTCTCCTTCCTCTGCGTTTATTGAAGGACGAACTACTCCATTTTCTACATCCATGTTTGAAGTGCAACTCGCTTGCAACAGCGGTCAGCTTAATGCTCAAAGGTTTGTAAAAACTACTTTTAGTAAAAGCAGAATGTTGAAGCTTGCAAACAGGAGTCCAGAGAGTGCATTTGTTTCTCTTTTTCGAAAACGCACACGTCTTACTTTCAATATCTTGAGAAGTAATGAAATAACTCAAGCAGTTCACGTGTAGTTTTGGCAAAGTTTTGAAAGGCTGCCACGAGAAGAAAACTGTAGTTGACGATAAAGTTTTACGACTTATGTGCAGGAAAGACTGAATAAAATAATTTCTCAATATAGACATGACTCCGCTTCTTGTTCCCTAACACTGAGGTTTAAAATGAAGAAGTATTTTTTTATATATGAGACAAGAAAATGTAGAGGTTTTGCGCGCCTTGTCCACACATGGATGGCGCCATTTTGAACTGAGAACTGATCATGAGAGAACTGGAACCTATAGGCAAAATGGTACAGTGGGGCAGTAGGGTGGGGAGGTTTGTAGGCTAAAAGTTAGCCAAATTTTTTCGCAAATTTGAAAATTTAGCAAAAATTGTAAGCAAGATAAGAGAAAAGACTCAATTCTTTAAACGTTTTGAAAGGCATTATAATTAATTTTGGTTTTGCTATTTTGGGTAATTTTCTACCTCCCCTCCCCCCTAAGTACGGACGAACTGGCTTACTGGGTATTTACTTTAGATTTCAAAATGCCTCTTTCTGTTCCAGTAAAACCACCTTCGAGGTCTTTTCTCGAAGCTGCTGAGTCTTCAAAGCTCCTAGACTGGGAGTTGGACTCGATAAAGACCGAAAGAGAAGAAAATGTTGCTCGTAGCTTATTCCATTACCGCAACTTGAAATCAGAGTTGAAAAACCAGTGTGAAATTTCTAGAAACCTTCAGGAAGATATGGACGAAAGCAGTAGTTACGAGGCAGCAACTGTCTGGGTTATGGGGTCATGGGAAGCACTAGAGTCTCTCGAGGGAAAGAGAGAAGAATCTAAGGAGTATATGAAACGAATAGCTCAATTGTCAAGGGAGATTTTGACTCTTAAAATTCAGATTTTGTGCGCAAAGGTTGTTCATGTTGGCGCTGTCATCAAACAGTTACAGGTAACTCTAAAGTTCTGGCATATTAAATAGAAAAGTTACTTTATGAAAATATTCCTCGAATAAAATACCCCTTGCATTCTAAAGCCGAAATCATCCAAAATCTGATAGATTGATTCACTCATTCATTCACTCACTGTTTAACATTCATTCATTTATTCATTCACTATTCATTCACTAAGGGTGGCATGGGTGCCGTATGCTGCGTCATCTTTCACCACAATGATTCCAGTGGTTAGGGTCACTGGTTTGAGCCCTGATCTATTTCATTCATTAATTCATTTATTTCTGAAGGAATTGGAGGCATCAGCTGGACCCAAGTCTACCACACCTCCAGAACTACTTTTCCATAAGTTTGAGGAATGGGTTCAATCAAATGAACAGATTTACAACTTGCAGTCTAGTATACTAAATTTAGAAGCCCAAAAAGTCAGGCAAGAAATTGATCTGTTGTCAATTAATAATTTGTGTGGGGGAAGGGTGGGGGCTTTTACTCTTGGCAGTGACCCTGTTTTCTTGCATGAGCATTAGTGTCCCACCCTCCCTACTGCCCCAATAGATTTTGAGTTCCAAATTACCGCTGTGTTTCTTGATTACAGACTCATTTGCTCAGGCTAAGCCTCGATTTTGTGAAGAATATTCACGTTTTCCAGTCAAGGTCCTGACCATCAAGTGTTCATATTGTTGAACTTGTGCATTCTTTACTTTACTGTTGGTATTTGCTAGTAATTAGACACTGATTCAAGGCTTACCATCCACCTCGTTCATTAATCGTAAGATATACACATAAAAGCACTCTAATTGACATATCGTTGAATTGTTAGGCTTCACAAAAGCATTCGAACAGAACATGCAAGACAACTTTCTGTGTCATCCATAGCAACAAAGGGTTCTTTTGCATCTGCCCTAGAGGACCATCCTGGCAAAAACACTGAATCAGGATTAATGCTTCAGTTTGCTGATGAACCCATGGTATCCCATATTCCTTCAAAACAAGAAGCAATGCTTGACAAACTACTGGTGGTCAGCTCTCAGAATAAGAGCTTTGAGTCGTTCAAGTTAAAAGCCTACATACGAGAGTGCTGGGAAGTCAAGCATGTTGATGATGATTTCCCAACTGGAGTTCATCAGGATCGGTATCAGGAGTTCATTGGTGGGATGTGTCAGTACATTGTTGATAAACCAACTTATAGCTTCTTGTCATATGATGCTGTCTTTGTAAGTTACTAAAATCAAGCAAATCACAGGATTATGTATTAATCAAACGAAACGAGAAAATAAATCATTTGCATTTCAATTGGCTGCAGCACCTTTCCCATTTTGACATCTCCCCTCACCCCTCCCCTCTTTGCAGCAATAGTTTGATTTCCAGATATGATGACTCATATCA